CAAGTAGCTGAAACTATGGGTGCTACCACGCCCGGCTAATTTTTTGATTTATTGTAGAGATGAGGTCTCGCCAAGTTGCCCAGGCGGGTCTCGAACCCACGGGCTCAGGCAATCCACTCACCTCAGCCTCCCAAAGCGTGGGATTACAGACTGAGCCACCGAGCCCGGCTTCAGCCTTTTTCAACTTCTATAGTTAAGAATTGCTGTCCAAACAAGAACATATAAATACAGAAATTGAGGCAAACATTTCATGAAACAGATTAATCTATCCAGACATTTTAGATTATGAAAATAAATGTGTTTAACTGCTTTTTTCTATTAGGAGAAATGAACAGAAACCTAGAAATCAGGACATGAAGAAATGTTCCATTTATAACAGCAAACTTCCTGTCCATTGGCAAGCCATTTCACCTCTCTGTGACTCAGTTTCCTTGTCTGTAAGCCGAGGTGTTTGAACTGAGTATGTCAAAGGTTTTTACTAGATTTTAAAAACGAAGATTTTCTCATTGCAATGCAAAGAGCATTCTTGCTCGTTTAACCTGCATGTGTTTTGATAAAGCAACAAAATCATTTTTGATTGAAGTCCAAGGGTGGGCACCTTAACAGTAAAGTTGTTCTCCTTGTAACATATTCTTCTGACAGACTGATGATGACTTTTGCTGAAAAAGTCTACTGGTGATGTGTGTTTACCTTGTAGCATCCTGAACCTGCACTTATTGTAAGAATGCAGCATCTGACTTCCTCGTGTCTCGCTCTGCAGATGAATAAGGCATTCACTGGCCAGCTGCAGTTCTCTCCCTTGTAATCAGTCAGTGCCTCTCATCTAAGCTGAGACATGTTTCCATAGTCTACGGAGCTGAGGATTTTGTGATTTGTTAATACTTCTGATTGGGCTTCACTGGACTGAATCGGGTCACTGAAGATGGTTGAATAAAGAGGAAAATTCATTAATTTGTTCATTTGATCTTGCAAAAGAGAAAATAAGAAAGCTTTCTTTTCAAAAAACACAGGACCGTCTTATTAGGTTTTATTAAAATGCCCATGAAACTTTTACAGATGTTGAAATTTAAGTCCTAGTTCCTTTTTGAATACTATAATTCTCTTATAATTATTTTAAACTAAATACCTGCTGCATTTACCTGATATTTATCTTAAAATGTTTTGAAAACTCCTGCCTAATTGTCCACAGAAAGTTTGAAACACTTTCCTCAACAATGAAAATTATTGACTACATATGAGTACGTTGTCAATACTGAATATTATTAATCTTTGAAATTCTGGCATTCTAATAAGTAAAAAAAGTCTTGTTTTAAAGATATTCTGCTGATAATTATTAGAGTTTTATAATTTTTTCATATTCTTATTACTCGTTTTTACTTTGTTTAAATTGTATTTGCTTGTAACTTTTGTCTATTTCTCTATTAGGCTATTACAACAAATGAACTTTTACTGTGTATATTTAAGTACATAGAATTATCTTAAATACAAAAGATACATCAGTGAACAAACCATAAAAAGGCGTTCTCATGGAGCTCAAATTCTAGTGGGAGGGAAAAAATAAAAAACTCATTTATATGCACAATTTTGCACCACATAATTACATTTTGGTCCACAACAGACTACATAGATGATGGTGGTCCCATAAGATTATATTACCATATTTTTCCTGTACCTTCTCTATGTTTAGACACACAGACACATACTATTGTGTTGCAGCTGCCTGTAGTATTCAGTACAGTAATATGCTAAGTTTGTAGCCTAGGAGCTGTAGGTAGGCTATATATAGCCTAGATATGTAGTAGGCTATGCCATCTAGGTCTGAGTAAGTAAACTCTGTGATGTTCATACAATGACAAATTGCCTAACAACACATTTCTCAGAACATAGCCCTGTTGTTAAGCGTCATGTGACTATATTGAGATTTTTAGAAAGCAGGCATGATTGGATTTACTAGGAAGCTACTTTAAGCTAACCGATCAGAAAAGCCTTTTCAGAAGAGGTGATATTTTTGTCAAGATATGATTGACAAGAACATCTAGTAGCAGAGCATCTTTTTAGGTGATAGAAACAGCTAACAGAGACATGGGTGAGTCTGCGGTATTTCAGGAAGAGAAAGATACTCATGGTGTTGGAAAAGGTGAAGGATGGAAGTTAGAAGAGATTGGGTTGAAGAAATTGGAAGTCTTAGCCCATATCCAGGCTAGTAGTATAGGAAAAGGAGTTACATTCCAAGCATGTTGAGAACCATTGAAGCTTTCTGTAAAGGAGCGACATAATCTGGTTTAAACCTTAATAACTTACTCTAGGTCCCAGGTGTGTAATGAATCATTGGGAACAAAAGTAGGAGCGAGGGCATCAATCAGGAAGTGAGGGAATTTTTTTAGGTAAGAACTGATAGTTATTTGGTGTAAAGGATGCTGTAAGTGGCCCTCCTGGATTCCCTTTACCTGCTGGGTGAGCCAATCTCCCAGCTACTAGGAGAGTAAGCTTCTATCAATCCCAGTTGCCCCCTTTCTGAGGAAGTTATACCTCATCTCTCCTCCTATGACCTTTAGCCAATGACTGATTAACAAGAAAACTCTCTTTCCCAGACAGGATTAGTTCTATGTGGTCTAGCACTTCTTTGTGAGAGCAACTTGAAGCTAATCTTTTTTTTTTTTGTTGGAGTCTCACTCTGTCGCCCAGACTGGAGTGCAGTGGCCACTCCCGGCCACCGCAGCCTCAACTTGCTGGGCTCTGGCGATCCTTCCGCCTCAGCCTTCCAAGTAGCCGGAATTACAGGCGCGCGCTACCAAGCCCGGCTGATTTTTTTTGATTTATTGTAGAGATGAGGTCTCGCTGCCCAGGCGGGTCTCGAACCCGCGGGCTCAGGCAATCCACTCACCTCAGCCTCCCAAAGGCACGGGATTACAGGCTGAGCCACCGAGCCCGGCTTGAAGCTAATCTTTAACTGAGATGATGTCTCTGCTGAGCACTTCCCTGCTGACCTTTCCTGCTTCTCTTGTTCCTCTTTTCCTCAATAAATTACTTGAACAAGAGTCTTCATCTTAGGTTCTGTTTTTAGGGAACTTGATCTAAGACATAGTTTAAGGTGACAGAGGTTGAAACAGAGAAGAGAGAATGGAATAAGAATGTTTGAGAGATAAGGGTGACATAAATGGGTCTGGAATGTGATGTAAAGAAAGAAATCAAAACAGTTTTTAAATTTTGTTATTGAACAACTTGTTGGGAGATGGCACATTTACTAATAGGTGATGTCTGGAAGGAGCCGATTTACCAATTAGAGAAGGACAAGAAATCGATTTCAGATTTGCTAACTTTGAGGTGTCTATAAGTGAATATATCAGGTAAGCAATTGAACAAACTCATCCAAAGGGCTGTTCAGTCTGAAGATCTATATTTGAGATTCAACTATGGCATTCAAATGGTATTTGAAGGCATGTGATTGAGTGGGAATATTTAGGTTGAGAATATAAAGAAGACAAAGTTTCCTGGAAACAAGTCCTGGCATGACAATATTTAAGGGTTGAACAGAGAAAAAAAATCCAGCAAATATATTAAGGAGTTGCCAGTAAAGAATAAGGAAACCAAGAAAGGTTTGTGTCACAGAAACCCCCAAAATAAAATGTTTCCAGGAGGAAATGACCAACTGTTGAATGCAGCTGGGTGGCTGATTTGAAGTTTTGATGAGGTTGAAGAAGTGTCGTGGTAGGAGTAGAATAAGATGTGAACTTGTACGATTAGAGGAGGAAACAGAGACTGGGATGTTTGACATCCACATTTAGAGATGTTAGAAACATCTGTGACAACAAGGTAAAAAGTGTGGCCGTGAACATGTGTGAGTTACAAGAAATACCAGTGGAGTGAGGTGGTTGAGAAACTACGAGGATATGTTACTGGGTGCATCCTCCACATGGATATCAAAATTCCCAAGCCTGGGGAAAGGAGTAGGGATATAGGGACTCAAGATGGGGGCTAAGTCATCAGTGATAGAACGATAGAGAACTGATAAAGTGTAATATTTGTTTTATTTCATTGATTTATATGTCTTCGGTTTTTCTTTTTTTCTTTTTTTTTGAGTTGGAATCTCACTCTGTCACCCAGGCTGGAGTGCAGTGGCACGCTCATGGCCACCTCAGCCTTGACCTGCTGGGCTCAGGTGATCCCTTCTCCTCAGCCTTCCAAGTAGCTGGAACTACAGGCATGCGCCACCACACCTGGCTAATTATTTATTTGTTGTTTGTTTATTTATTGTAGAGACAAGTTGCTCAAACTGGTCTCGAACCCTTGGACTCAGGCAATCCTCTTGCCTCGGTCTCTCAAAGTGCTGGGATTACAGACTTGAGCCACTGTATCGGGCGAGTCTTCAGTTTTTTGAAGTTCATTTTATTGTAAGAATGATATCAAAAACAAAATATAAGGCACAAATCTCTCCAAATCCCATCACTTCATCAGAGGATGGTGGATTTTTATGAAGCCCTGTAGCTGTTTCTGTCTATTGGTCTTTGACCTGGCTAGGTGTTCCATTTGTTTTGCTTACTCTGCATGAAATTGTGGCAGGGCTTTGTGTTACCAAGAACGGCTGCCTCTTAACCTGGCATTCAACCACATCAAGCCCGCAAATGAACAGGCCTTCTCATTGTGCTGGTTTGACTTTCCTGGTCCCATTTGCTGGTCTCTCCTGCTTGGCTAAAATCTGGAACAACCACTATTCATCATAGTTGTAAAATAGGGCAGTAATCTTTCATTTTGCAAAACTTGTTTCATTGTGGATGCCCTAGCTCAGATACTTTCTCGTTATTTCCACAGAGTAGATTGTCTGGTTATATTTCATTACTCTCTTTAGTCCATCCAGATCTTTCTCCAGTTCTGATTATGTTCTCAAATTATTTGGCACATTTGTTCTCTCCATTCCTTGTGACTAATGAGTTCTTATTCCAGTTTGGAAGAGGTGTTGCTACCACGGTTGTCTTGAACATCTGCTGATTGTTTCTGGACAGGGAATTACGGGGAGAGCGGAATGGATGCTTTCAAAGAGCTGGCTGCCCAGGAAGGCCTCTGTATTGCCCATTCTGACAAAATCTACAGCAATGCTGGGGAGAAGAGCTTTGACCGACTCTTGCGCAAGCTCCGAGAGCGGCTTCCCAAGGCCAGAGTGGTGGTCTGCTTCTGTGAAGGCATGACGGTCCGAGGACTCCTGAGTGCCATGCGGCGCCTTGGCGTCGTGGGCGAGTTCTCACTCATTGGAAGGTAAGTCATTCTCTCTCTCTCTTTCTCTCTCTCTCTCACACACAAACACACAGCACACGTTTTGGCACACATATACTTTCTCTCACAAAACTTAATTTTCCACCTCCAAAGTGGGGGGATATACACTACTGAACTGAATATTAGTTCTGGATCTCATTGATACAGGGATTTTGGCATCTTCTTGATAGACAAGAGCAGAGCTGTGGATAACAAGATGGTGAGTTTTTTTGTTTGTTTTTCAGAAAAAGATGAAAAGTTATTTTCTAAAATGTGTCCTCTCCTAGAGAATTATTCTTTTCACTTGTTCCCCCACCTCCAAGTCAGTGCTTATGTCTTCCTAACTCCTAAAATAGACATCTGAAAGGATATTGGTGAATGGAGGGCAGCAGTGAAAATAGAAAATATGTATTAAGATTTGAAATTTACAGAAGTGGTCAAAGACAAGTGAAGACACACAACTGAACTGCAAAACTTGACAATATAATCTCTAGTTGCATTATGGGATGGTTAATATTGATGCTTGCAGCATGTAATTTCTGGAATTGCAGATGGTGGATTTCAAAATCTCTTCTGCTCTCTTTCTGGATCATTTGTACATACTTATGTGACAAATAGTTTGCAGTATCACTAGGTTTTTGACCTAACAAATATCTCACTTAATTTGCCATCTTCTAATATTGCATAAAGAAACTGCTCAGTTTTTTTTTTCCCCCAAGAAAACCTACTGAGTTTACCTGAGTAAGGTCTCCACTAATCTTCAGCTCTTTCCTATTCTCCTTCCAAAAACTCTTTGTCTCTTCCCATCTCCTTCTCTGGCTAGACTGTAATCATATCATACCCACTGAAGAGTCTCAACCATTGTTCATCTTCTCTTGGAAGCTGGGTAGTAGTGGTGTGGACATCCTCACTGGACCTTTCTCTTTTGTCTTTGTGCTTGTGGTAATGACCACAATAGTAGTAAGACTAATCTCAACAGCATAAGGATTCAAAGCTATAAGACACTTCAGAGACTTCTGAGAGGAGAGTAGTACAGAGATTTAAATAAATGAATAAATAAAGGGATACTCTCTAGGCATGAGAAGGTATGATGCCAAGGACAAAGTATAATTCAAGATTAAGACAATTCTGAATATGGGTAAAACTGACACAAAGAGTCAGTTTGACCTCTTCAGCATGGTGCAGTTTTGGGAAGCCACTTAAACTTTCATAAGAAAGCAGGTTTTTTTTTTTTTAGAAAGAACACTTAAAGAAGGAATATTATTTCTTTTGGGAGTGAAAAGGATATAAACAGCATTGTTGAAGTGTTGCATGGAGTAATGTTCTTAATATATGTGCCAGGACAGATGGTATGCAGATATTCAGTCTTGTCAATTGTTTTTGTAAGATAACTGCTTTTCTGATGGGTGCTTGTTTTAAAAAAATTCGTGTTTATCATTTACAAAACAACAATAGTCTGTTTTGCAGAAATTATTTTCTATAATATTCTCAAAGAGGCTATCTACTTGGGTTCTGAAGAACTTGAACAGATGTGGCAAACGTGCGCTTTGGGCTGTACAGCCCGCCTAGTTATGAAAAATTATTAAACAAAAAGCTACAATGTATAATTGAAGTAAAAATTTACTCCATTAGCATTATTTAAAAACTGGGCAAAAAAGATGATGTCAACTTAAGGCTTTCTGGCTTTTGTTTAACTCCTAATAATGCAAGTGAGTTCATACAAGTATTTCTGAGAGTCTCACTTATGCTTGCTTGTGAAGAGATCAGCTACATGTGGTATCTGCCTCTTTTATTCCTTTTCTCTGCCCCAGCTCTGCTGGGCTCTACCAACACTTCCTAGGAAACTGTCATCACGTTGAACACCTGAGCTTCTGAGGACACTGCTTGCTGTGCCAATGGAATTGTCACTGATGCATGGGATTCTTACAGTGGCAAAGCTATACCACACTTTGTGCCAAAGTGAGGGAAGTGCCTCTCTGCCTTTCTGGGATAATTTCCACAAGGCTCTATCAAAATGATGTTGGCTTTTAATCCTATATCTTAAAAGATTTTAACCAAAAGAGCTTTAAATTTTTTTCTTCACAGTTCTCGCTCTTCTCTGACATCCAGATATGAGTTCATAGGGAGCTGAACTGGGGATAAAGCCAAGTCTCAATACTATGCCATACTTAGAATTAGCCTTCCCTTCAGGTGATTGAGTCTTTCTCTTCCTGTGGGCTGAATTTTGTCCTAAATGTTGCTTTGTTACTCATGCGAATGGCTATGTGATGGGCTTGGTTCTCTTATTTTGTCAGGTATGTCCAGAATAGTTCCAGTTTAGCCTCATGCGGCAACTTCCAGCTGTACTAATGTTTTCAGATATCTCCGCCCCTCCCCGAGGGATTTTATTTACCAATGATAAACTTTTTGAGTTCAAGAGCCATTGTTTAGATTTTTTTCATAATACATAGCATGATTCCGAATGCCGTCATGGAAAAACAAAACAAAGCATGGACTAAGAGTTCTACTTTCGCCATGAGGTAACCACAAAATCTTGTCTGCTCAGTAACTTTTTGCCTCTGAGTCTATTTTTTTCTGATACAAATAAAATATTTGGCTGCAGATCATTCTTTTTTTTTTTTTTTTTTTTGAGTTGGAGTCTCACTCGGTCGCCCAGTCTGGAGTGCAGTGGCCGCTCCCAGCCACCGCAGCCTCGCCTGCTGAGCTCCGGCGATCCTTCCACCTCAGCCTTCCTAGTAGCTGGAATTACAGGCATGCGCTACCACACCCGGCTGATTTTTTGATTTATTGTAGAGATGAGGTCTCGCTGCCCAAGCAGGTCTCGAACCCACGGGCTCAGGCAATCCACTCACCTCAGCCTCCCAAAGGCGCGGGATTACAGGCTGAGCCACCGAGCCCGGCTCAGATCATTCTTAAGTATTTTTCCCATCCCAGAATTGACAATATATTGACTTTATGACTAACCTATGATCAATAAGAATGTATTTATGGATTCATTTTGTCTAATGTTATTCATGAATTTGGACTGATCAATTTTCATTTTCTTACCAGTCACCTTATTAAAATCAGAATTCACTGAACAAGCTGGTCAGTAGTCATGTCTTAATCTGTGGTCATGGAATATAGCCAGCAGATCCATGGGAGAATCAAATCCTTGTGGGAAAATTGGCATAGTATTCTCATCAAACAAGTTAACTAATTATAGTCAAGTTACATATCATGCAAAAGATTCATTTTTTTCTTGGATCTATAAAATTGTCTCTTCTGAGATGCTCAGAATTATGCTCACCATATCTATAATAATAAGAATTTTCGTAATCATGGTGCTGATACTGTTGATGCATCTGATAACATCTGTATAGGACTTTAATATATGTAAGCACGGGTTCTAAGAACTTTGCATATATTAACTAATTTAATTATCACAAGAGTGTGATAAGATAGGTACACTTTCTGTTATTCCTCTATTATTTCCATTCTGATGTAGGAGGAAGTTAACCTGTCAAAAAGTGCTGCATTGCCAGAGCTGGAATCTGATCTTAGGTGCTGTGACTTCAGAAGTCATGCTCTTAGTCAGTAAGTTATATTGTGTGTCAAGTCATGCTTGTTTGTATAAGAGATGTTGCCACCAACCTTAGTTACTTTTCAATTTGCTCTCCCAGAGATTTTATTGTTCAGATTCTCTTCTTAGAAAAATAAGCTGCAGTTTCTCCGATAAGAAAATATTTCACATTTCTAATTATTCTTTGTTTCTCTGAATTTTCTATATTTATCTTCTAGTTTTAAATATTTTATATGATAATCTAGTAAATAGGACATTTAAAAAAACAATCCCATTCACAATAGACACACACACACACACACACACACACACACACACACA